GGGGGGGGGCCCTCGGCTTTGCGCAACATGTCACAATATTATATATAATTGTAAATTATTTCTTTTCATCAAGGTTTCAAATGATTGGTTATTTTTACAGGTTCAAATATGATAGATCTTGAGTAACTGTGTGTGTTTTGAAGATAAATTTAATGCACGAAATATTAGGTAGATGAAAAGTGAAATGTGGCTAACACTGCAATGATAATTGGACCCATCTTTTGGATTTTGTTTGAGAAAGTTGTCAGCAGAATTTAATTTACACTGTGATACACTGGGGGCCTAACATTTATGGGTACAGTTCTTGTTAGTATACACTCTATGCATTTTGTACATGCCTCTTGGTATACAGATCAGTTTCTGGCCACAGAATGGCTTATTTCCCCCCAGCTCATGTGACGAGCTCTGTCTGCAAAGTCTTCTTCCAGCCTGATGTTAGTAGTGTGACAGCAGGCAACATTGACTTCTTCAGCCTAGTGTTTCCGTGTCTTTTGAACTCCATGGACCTCCTGACTAATCCTTCCCAGCCCTACTGACCTTATTTACTGCTCTTAACCTACTTACATTTTCCATTTGAAGAATTTATTTTTGTTTGGAAAATGATGTAGTTTGTCACCATCTGTGATGCAGTATCACTTAAAAGAGCACTGGTTGAATTTGCTCTAATGTTTTATGTATTGCTCTGTGATGCCAGTTTTTGGTATGTGTACTTTAAAAATTAAATTTGGTGTAGAATTATATGATGTATGAATGAACGAATGTATGTATAAAGGGTGGGCCTTCTCAGCCCTTGCACCACGACCTACAGTGGTTTGTTGTGCTTAGAATTATATGATAGTTTGTTTCAAAAGTTGAATGTTCACATATATCCTTTTGAGCCCAATATATTTTAATATATCATAATTCAATAATAAATATCTTATGCTGAACTCTTTATACTGCATATGGACTGCTCTAATTAGATTGCTGTTAGAAGGGAACCATTCTGCATGGAAGTTAAGTATAACAAGCTGGACTTTTTGTTATCAATTTTGAGGTTTTTTGTAATGTTGACTGATTTGTTGATGTGTGTATCTACAATTCTATTTTATATATTTATTTATATTCTAGTTTGTACTTTCTTAGATGAGTTCTCCCTTTCTGCAGTAAGCAATTTCTCCATCCTTATTTCTTTCTGGCTTGTATGAAGCGAAAATTCTTTTATGAAGTTTTGTGATGTTACTAGATTCCATCACAAGACCTGTAATTAAAGAAGGTGGTTTGTCTGATTTTACTGTATAGTTTTAAACGATTTAACTAAATGTAACATTCTAATGGAAGGGAGAGATGCTTCAAAGATTGAAAGATCCATCTTCAGGTTTGGGCAGGAGACCATGTTGATTGTTGAATATAGAAATTTAGAAATGTACACACACTGTGGTTTGTTTAATTACCTTAAAAAAAGTACTGAACATAGTATGTGTTTCATTTTTCTGAACAACTTGTGCTTGAAACCTTTTTTGCTGCAATTATTTAGCAAGTTACACTCTAGATACCGTGTGTCCAAAAAGTATCCAACTTTATTTTTTTCCACTGTAAGTAATGGCTAAAGGGGTGGGGAAACTGAGCGTAGTGGTAGAAGGGACTTTCATGCGCATGCATGATTTTTTGCTGACTCGCAGCACTGCCGGATGCATCTGTGGCTGGCAGATAGTGAAGTGGTGTAACATGTTCGCTGCATTCTCGTTTCACTCAAGATGACAGAACGCTTGGGACAGCGATACTGCATTAAGTTTTGTCAGAAACTTGGGGATACCCAAGCGGAAACAATTCGCAAAATTTAGCAGGCTTTTGGCATGATGCAGTGGGGTCACTCAAATTAAAGAGTGGTTCAACCACTTTAAACATGGCCGTATGTTGGCGAACAGTGAGCAGCGTTCCGGGAGACCATCAAAAAGTGTGGACACTGATCATGGAGGACCATCGTTTGGCCATCCATGAAGTTGCTGATGAGGTTAGGATCAGCAGAGGTTATGCAAACACAATTTTAACTGAGGATTTGGGCATGCGAAGAGTGGTAGCAAAATTTGTGCCCAAGCTGCTTTCGGCAGAGCAGCAACAACTCCGCCTTGAGGTCGCGCAGGACATGCGCCAAACAGGGATCCTGAGTTCCTGAAGACTGTGATCACTGGTGACAAGTCATGGGTGTACAGATATGACCCAGAAACCAAGGTCCAGGCATCACAA